CCCTAGTGCTATATATTTTTTGTAGTGATATTAGAGATATAGGATTATGACCACTTCAAGCTAATAAATAACACTGAAAAGATTATGTATAATTGAAATGCACACCAGGTATAATTTTTGAAGAAATCTACATACATGCAGGCAGGTTTGCAAATGCAATATTGGTTTGTCAGAAAAGTCATGACATTTTATCAAAACATATGTTTTTCTATACAGAAATGCAGCATGGCTTTTCTGATGACCCAATAGCATTTTAGTTCTGTTATCTTGATGCCTTAGAAGGAAACAATGTACAGAGAGAAAGTAAGAAGCATCATTATCTAGTTCCCATGCACAATATTAAAAATCTTATTTACATGCTTAGGTTGACAGGTTTGGGGGAAGAATCTGAAATCCAAGGGACAAGTTGAATGATAAGCAAGTGTTAAATCATGTAACCATCCTACACATGCAATAATATAAATATTTAGATAAGAAATTCAGAGTCAAGTCCAGAGATGTAAACCTGGAGGGTGTGATTTTAAGCTTCTGAGGTTGTCATAGAAAATCTTACCCCTTGGCAGTCCTGGAGTGAGGAGGCAGGCTCGCCAGAGTGAGCGGCACAGATTGGCTGTGTTTGCTCTCTCACTTCTCATTCACTCGCTCTTGCTGGCTATAAACTCCTCTGTGCCTCCTAACAGCCAATCAGCCTCACAGTCAAGGTGATGTCAGAGCACAGATTCTCACCAGAAAACCCCCAAACTTCAACACTTTCTCAAGACACAGGCTCAGTTGAGTAAACATGAAACGTGGTTGTAGTGCCAAGAGGTTTGCATTGTGGAATTTAATTGAAGGTTTAGAGGAAGATGAATAGTTTGAGTTCCGAATATATATAATAATACACTGGATTTGAATTAAAATAAATAGCAAAAGATTTAACCATTGAAAAATTTCAAAATGACACAAGTTTTCACTGTGTTGTAAAAAAGGGAAAACTTACTGTCCCCCAGATGTAGTTCTACCTTAGGTGAGTTAAAAAGTAAAAGAGACCAACAAAAAGAAAAGGAGATAATGAACAATGAAAATTTTAGTATCAATTAATTTATATTTCCTCCAGAAATATGCTCTAATAAATGACTCAAAAATTAAAATTGAAATAACACTCAGACTTCGGAAAATACATTTACTAAAACACGATGCTAAGTGTAAAAGTGAAGATTTTTGAGGATCTTGCTACTGGTCTTGCTACTCTTTTGTTTTATTTCATAAAAGAGTTCATCTTCTGTTTTATGAAATAAACCTCTTTAGATTTCCTCTCTGTGCAGTCCCTTTTGTTTCATAACTCAGGACACCTCATATTATTTTCTTCAGATTCTATATATCTCTTTTTCTCTTATTTATTTATTTACTTAAAAAAATTTAGTTTTAGGGCTCATATACTGGCTAGAGAGACAGAAAGAGAGGAAGGGAAAGTAAGAAATCACCCCCGTGGGGGGATGGCCATGCCATAATCCTTTCTCCTCCCAGGATCCTCGGTATACATGCACACGTGCCTGGTGTGTTTTTCAAGTCACTGTGTCAGAGACTCAAACCACCTAGTTAGCCATGTGAGATTCAGCCACCTTCACCACCATGTCACTGGCTTGCCCAATAAACCTCTTTTCTATTCATTTTCATATTTAATTTTTTCCCCTCTGAGTATAAAAAAATGAGTAGAACTCACGGGAATGACCCATTGTTATTGAAATGATTCATGCAAACCAAATCCACAAGATACAGATTAATAAACAAAAGCATACATTTTTAGATTTGCAAAGTATTGCGTATCTTCCTTGTCCAGTGATTTTACATTTTATTTTCCTTCCAGTTGTGTGGCCTACTTGAGAACCCAAAAGTTATGTTCTTTAAAACAGTTTTGGGAAGTTTCTTTCTTTTTTCTTCTTTACTTTTTTTTTCCTTTCTTGTTTCTTTTTTTACATGAGTGAAAGAGAGAGCGAGTCCCCAGTAGCATCTGGAGGCCATGATCCATCCACAGCCTTCGACCAACCCGGATTCCTGGGTGAGCATGTGTCTCGTGCTCAGGGAGGCCTCTGGACTTGAACTGAGAAGCTTCCCACATGTGATTACCTTACGCAGTATCATACTTTACTGCTGCACCAAATTGGCCCTTTTTTCCTTCTTCTTTTTAAATACTAGAAGGTGCACGTGCTCTCTAGAGACAGATGGGGGTGGGGGGAGGGAGAAAGCAACCCCCAGTGGGGTGTGGCCATGTTACAATTCCTCTTCCTTCATTTCTCCATCTTGTCAGGATCTGGGGCATGCATACACACATGCCCAGCCTGTTTTTAAAGTTATTGGGTCAGGATTCAAACCACAGTTGACATGTGGGATCCAGCTCCCTTAACCACCAGGCTATGGGCTGGCTTTTTTATTATTATTATTATTATTTTTTAACAGAATTTTCCCATCATGAATCTTCTAGTTAAGACTCTAGGTACATTTCACTACGCTAAACTCCTTTCAAGTCAGGAGCTCACTGTGTTGCCCAGTGCAGCCTCCAGCTCTCGATCCTCCTGCTTCAGCCTCCCTGAGCTACTGTAGGGCATGCCACTAAGCCTGGCCTTTCTGTCTGACCAAAAATCAAACCTAGGACTCTTAGGTGGCTGTAGTGTCACATAGAAGCACAGTGTCCTAGCAGTGTGCATCTCCATGGCTGGGCTATGTAAGTATAATTTTTAGGTTGTGGGCCAGTCACCCCATTAGATGTGACTTGTTTAGATCATTGGATAAGTTACCTTTTATTTCAGAAAAGTTTATTGGAAAATATACACTCATAAAAAGAGAAGTTGGAGAGGCTCTTTCAATTTCATTCAACTCCATAAATTTAGTTCCATTTATCAAACCTTGGATCCCAGAGGTTTCCCTGAGCCAGACTGTGTCATAAGATGTGGAGAACCAAACAAGAAAAATCTGACCCCAGTCTTTAAAGATATCACAGTTTGGGGCCAGCAGGTAACATAGTGGTTAAGGGACTGGACTCCCATGTGGTTGACCACAGTTTGAGTCCCAGACCTCGCAGCTTGACACTCTAGCCAGGCATGTGTGCATACATGCCCAAAATTCCAAGAGAAGAATGAAGGAAAAGGGACTGCAGCATGGCCACCTTCTCTGGGGAGTGATTTCTCACTTAGTCTCTCTGTTTGTCTCTGTCTCTCTGTCAAGCATATGCACCCTATGGCAAAAATCCCTCAAAAAAATGTAAAAAGTCACAGTCATATAGGAAGACAGACATACAGCAATTCAGCAACCAAAATACTCACAAAGCCCAGAAGTGCTAGGCAAATAGGAAGGTGCTATTCTAACTGACAAAAGAGTAGTGGGTCTGGGTCCTCATATAAGACTGGGAATTTGCTCAGTTATCGAGTGGAAGGGGTTGTCAAGAGGAATAGGGAAGCACTTGGGGAATGAGTTCAAAGAATTTAAAAATGTGTCGCACTAAACACCGTTTCATGTTCACTGAGTGCCCACATGCTAGTTCTTCACTTGCGCAATTACCCATTCCTCACGTACACAGAAAACAGTTCCATGAGATTATTCCCATTACACAGGTGAGTTAAGTGAGGCACAGTGATGGATTGCACAGCCAGCAAATGGGGGACTCCAGGGTTCAAAGTCGAAGCTGTCTAATTCCAGAGCCCACACTTGAAATCATTACATACCATTGCTGGCACATTCAGAAAACATCCACAATACAATAGAGTGGAGTCTCATGAGTGGAAGTCATGACAGATGAGGGTGATCAGATAGGTAAAGCCTATGATGGGGGACCCATAGGTCACACTAAGGAGTATGGGCTTTATCTAGGACATTGGGAATACAAAAGAGTTAAAGCAGAGAAAGAACATCAGATTTCAGCTTGGAAAAATCTTTCATTGACAAGGTAGGAGTATTTGAGAAAGGCAAGGTTATTGTGGAGGAGGGAAGCTTAAAGAAGCTGTTGTAATGTTCAGGAAAGTGACAATAAAGGGCTGAACTAAAGCAGTGGTCGCGGGATGGAGAGGAAGAAATGAATGAGAATGATGTTGAGTAGATAAGATCATAGGACTCAGTAGAAGTAAGTGAGGTGGAGAAGCCAAGGATGACTCCTGGAGTTCTGTCTGGCTCGAGTAATTTTGTGAGTGGTGAGCCCATATCTTCTGCAGGCCTAATAGAGCACCTGCTATGACACAGTCACTTAGCGAGCATTTGTTGACAGTCATATGATGTAATGAAATGGGTAGAGACTGATAATCAAAATCTTGGGATTTTACTTATTTATTTATTTTAAGATTTTTTTTTTTGGTAATAGAGCATGTGCACTCACCAGAGAAAAGTAGAATGGGACAGAGAGAGGTAAAGTGAGAAATTACTCCCCAGGAGGATGGCCACTCTGTAACCCCTTCTCCTCTATTCTTCTCTTGAAATTTAGGGCATGCACACATACACACCTGGCATGATTTTCAAGCCACCAGTTTCAAACTCAGACCACTGTGGGCCATTTGAGAGTCCAGCCCCTTTATCACCACACCACCTGTTGGCTTTTGGAGTTTTATTCTTGACTCTTCTAGTAACTTAACTCTTTCACTTAACTATTATGAAGCTTTAATTTAGCCCATCTTAAAAAAAAAATAAGGGTGGTTTTAAGCTGAGATAGTGGTGCATCAGTAAAATGTGGTGCTCTGTGAGGCAGTCCTACATCATACAGTTCTTGGTTCAAGTCCAGAGACCACCCTGAGCATGCCAGGCACAAACTTGCCCATGATCCAGGGCTAGCTGAAGGCTGGGTATGGATCACTACGTCAGGACACTGTTGGGGGTGCTCTATATTTCTCTCTCACTCATAAACTAAATAAACTTAAATGAAATAGTGAGCTTTCACCAAAAACAGACTAATCATTTTGTGTCTTAATCACGGGTGGAGAATTTTGTTCAAATAATTGAACTTGAATCTCATCAGGCCTCTGTATCTACCAGATTAGAAGAAATATATGGATAGAAGAGCATGTAAAATAACACAACTGGGATGCATTCAGCAAAATACACAATGTGGGAAACTTTATTAGACACATTCCCTGGTTTTGTTCAATAAAACAGAAAGAAAAGAAGAAGATGGGGAAGCTATGGGTTAAAAAAGATTTTGGGGCTATTCTAGTAGTATTCTAATTCTGGGAACCTTGAATATTTCTCTCTTCCTATCAATTCTATGACCTCAGGGTTTGAAATCAACATTGAGGTGAAATGCTTGTGTGGCTCTTGCCAGTTTTTATTTTTTATTTTTCTAATATTTAAAAACTTAATTTATTGTAATATAAATGCTTAACATGCAATCTACCCTCTTAAATTTTAAGCTTACAATACAGTACTGGCAACAATAGGCACAATGTTGTTCAGCCAATATCTAGAATGTCTTCATCTTACATCATTGAAATTTTATGCCCATTGATTAGCAATTTCTCATTTCCCGCTCCCTACAGCCCTTGCCAGCCACCATTCCACTCTCTGATTCTGAATTTCATAATTTAAAATATCATATGTGAGTAGATTCATGCAGTATTTCTTCTTCTGTGACTGGCTTATTGGACTTAGCATAATGTCCTC